ACCTTACGATATCTCATCCCTAGTGGATGCCTATTATCAAACCATAAGTTTGTATTGTTTCCATTACCAATCATATGGACCAAGAGGGGTCTAATAAGATGCCTATCCTTGAGTAGATTAAGCCAATTCCAACTACAAGTCGTAGGTGCCTTCACATCCCAAAGGCTCCTCTCTCTTAGATAGTAATAATGAATCCACATAACCCGTAGATTTTTTTTATCAGTGAAGAGAAGCCATATATATCTCATCATCAATGCCTCATTATACATGTTGATATTTGTAATACCCAAACCTCCCTCTTGCTTAGGTACACACACCTTTTCACATGAAACTTTGGCACCATAACTCCCCTGTATAGATCCTTTCCAAAGAAACCTCCTCATTAACTGCTCAATTTTATCAATAATATGTTGGTAAATATAAGTGTGATGTCCATTAGGTCTGTATACTGCTGATAACAGATTAGATCAGTTGGAGTCTACCAACATAGGACATAGCTATATCAAACCATGATCCCAACCTTTTCCAATTCTAACAAGAAATTCATTATAGTGGATAGACCTTACTCTAGAAGATATCAATGGAATGCCCAATTAAGTAACTAGCAGTTGCCCTTTAGAAATCCTATCAAATTTATAGGTTGCTCCTTCATATCAGTTTGGATGCCACACATGAAAATATTAATCGTCAAATGATTGACATGCAAGCTAGAAATAACGTGGAATTGATCAAGAGCTTGCTTAAGGACATTAACAGAAGTCAAGTCACCATGGCAAAATAACAGTTGATCATCAGCAAAGGAAAGCTATGTGAATTTAACCTTCTTGCATCTCCAATGATATTTAAATTCTCTACACTCAATTTTTTCTATATCAGAAGGTTAAGAACTTCCATTGCAAGGACAAACAAGTATGGAGATAGGGGATTCCCCTGCATGAGTCCTTTAGAGCTTTGGAAGAAACCCACATGCTCACCGTTAATATTAACAGAAAAAATTGGGGTAAAGATACATTGCCAAACCCATCTTCTAAGGGTAGGAGGGAAATTGAATGCTTCCATAAGATCCATTGAACACTGCCAATTTACATAGTCCAAGGCCTTTTTCAAGTCCACTTTGACCGCACATTTTGGAGATCCAATGTTCCTATGATAGTCTCTCAATAATTATTGAGAAAAAAAAGATGTTATCACTTATTATTCTACTTGAAATAAAAGCAACCTAATTCTTGTTTATGAGTTCAGGTAGGACATATTTGAGTCTAGATGCAGAAACCTTGGATATAGCCTTATACATTGTGTTATCACAAGAGCCTAAAATCATTCATGGAAGACAAATTAAGGCACTTAGGAGCTAATGCAATAATGGTGGAATCTACCTGAGGAGAAGAATTCTTTAATAGTAGATATGACTTCATTACCTATGATAGGTCAAGCCTTCTTAAAGAAATACAGATTAAATCCATCTGGACTTGGAGCTTGATGACTATTTGTAAACCCCCACATTCTATTCTTTATATAGCAACGTAATTATGTTTTGAAATGCTTATATATGTAATGATGTATGCATGAACTAGGTTGATTGTAAGAGTAGAGATAAAATGTTTGTTGAGGTAATAGGGTGTGTTGTAGAAGTTTGGAAGTATTCCGGAGTGAAAACACATTTTAGACAAAATTTGGGTAAAAAGGATTTTGGACACTGCCTATTATTTGGATCATAACGTTTTATTCTGATGTTCATTTGATCTAAAATTTTGACAGTAGACAATAGACTTCTAGGGCTACAAAAGTATATTTCATGAATATTTTTCAAATCGACTTCTAAATAGGCCAAAACTTCACTGGAAGTTTCAGAAGAAACAGGAAGTCTGTTCGAACGTAAAATGACGTTTGAACGACCTACGTTCGAACGTGAAAGTCCGTTCGAATGACAGTGTGTTCTAATACTTTTTTTCTGATGAAAAAATAGAAGTACTAGGAGCAAAGGACATTCAAAAGCCAATGACAATCGAACGTGAGCTACGAATTCTAACTTTCAGATTCACGCACAAGGGACCATTTGGCCTCCTATAAATACATAAGGACATCTCCTTAATTTCAACATTTCTAACCCTATAAAGTCTTAGAGAGGAATAAATAAAGGAAAAACAAAAGATTAAAGGGTTGATTCAAGTTTGGAAAAGATTAAATCTTCAAGTTCTTCACACAAAGTCAAGGAAGAAGAAAGGTTGGGGTTTTTTTCCACTCTTGTTCATTGAGGTTAGGGCTTATATGTACATATGTTTTGACTCTTAATCATAAATATTTGTTATGGAATCCTTAATTCTTGATGTTCTTGCAAACTTTATCATGTTTTGAAAGAATTATTAGTTTGATAACCCTAGAAATGCATGTTCTTGATGTAAAAACCTAACTTTGGGAAAAATGGATTTTTCTTCTTGATATCATCTTGTTATTGATTCAAGAACTTTAGTGCTTTGCTTGGAACAATAAAAGTCTATCTTTTGATGATCTCTTGCTTATTTTATTGAATTTTTATGTTGGAAAAATACTTATGAAATTAAGGGTTTTGAATTTACTTGTGATTTGAGAAAATGGTTGGTATTGTATCTTGTGTATGGTTTGTTGTGATGGACTTGAATTACATTCAAGAACTACCGTAGAGTGTTAGAGGTTAGTCTATCCCAGTGGGGGTGGTATGATTTCCTAACACTTGTAGTGGATTGTTGTTTGTGAAAGCAACCACTATTATTCATGTAAGTTCGAGGCTGAGGGATGATATACTTTTCCTTGGAAGGATTCGTCAATGCCATGAGAGACGGTATACGCCCTTCCTAAATTGGTTTTGTGTGGTTATGATGGGTGAATGAGGTATAATCATTGTGTAGATTCATGGGAAACAACCAACATACATAAGAATATGAGATGATACTATTGAATGATTAATTGATTCCTTCACATGTTTATTTCTTTCATTTAACTTATTGTTATTGCGTTAAATTGAGATCAAATAGATTGTCACTATTTTATTTCAAATTATATATGATATTTTAGAAAGTGAGACCGAACTGTTTTATATGTTTCTAAACCTTGTTCAAGTTTGGGAGGATGTTGCTACAGAGCTTAGTGTTCACCCCCTACAAATACTATTTATTCTCAGATATCGGTTCAGATGAAGAGCTCGGAATTGATGAGCAGGTTGTTTGGGAAAGCGCAATTGGATGGAAGCGTGGATCCCGAGGGGGATGTTAAAATTGTTCTTTTTTATGTTCTAGACTAAGAGATTCATTTTGAGACAATGTGAAGTCTAATATTTTTGTTATTCCGCTGCAAGTTAATAGTTAATTTTTGGGATGTAATTGTCATAGTTGAGCATATTCTTTTGGATGATGTTGTAAATATTATGAAGGATGAATTAAATCTTCTTTACTTATAGATCATATTAGTTGTTCTCATGAGGTGAATAATTTTAGATAATAATGTCATCCAAGGTAGGTTTTGGAGTGTTACACTATTAATTGAGAAGTAAGCAACTTTGATTTCCTCGTCAGTAATCCTTTCATTCATGCCCAAAGCATGCACATTAGAAACTCTTCTTTGAATAATGGGGTTCAGAAATAACCTTCTATCAAAATTGGAATTGGTAGGGAGAATGTTGGGATGGCCCAAGAGGACCTTAAAATACTCCACTACATCACTCTTAACATCTTGTATTCCCTTTTCAACCGAGCCATCCAGTCTCCTAATTCAGAGAATTTTCTTCATGTTCCTTCTGCTTAGCATAGATTTGAAGTAGCTAGTGTTTTGGTCCCCCTCTTTGAGCCATAGCACCCTGGATTTCTGTTTGTAAAACATTTCCTCAACTTTAGAGGCAGCTAAGTACTCTGCTAATAACAGTTTCCATTCCTCTCTTAGACTGTGATCACTAGGCCTGGTGTCAATTCTTTTTTGGTAGGCATCTAGCTCAACTTTTGTCCTATTAACCAAGTCAAATATAGGCCCTTTTTCTCTGCTTATGGCTTTGAACACATTCTTTAATCTATTTAGTTTGTTGCAAATTTTAAACTGATAGGACCCTGAGATCTCTTCATTCCACACATTGGTGACCAACTCCAAAAAATCCCCCCTTTTCAGCATGGTGGTTGGAGCTTAAAAAGGGAGTTCCAAATTCTCACAGGATCTCCAATCTTTACCACATTAAGGGAATGGTCAGAAATTCCAGAGTGTAAAAATTCTACTTCAGCTTGTTGTATAGTTTAACCCATCTTTCATTAACTAATGTTCTATCTAGCTTCCTAGAAATGCCATAGTCGATTGTTGCACCATTTATAGAATAAGCCACAGAATCTAAGATCCATAAGTTTGGCACTTTGGATAAACTCCTTAAACTCCATCATATCTTGACTCCAATGACCAGAACAACCTATGGACTCGTTAAGATTTCTAATAAAATTGAAATTCCCCATGATTATCCAAGGGTCGTTACCATGAAGAACAGTTTGCATAGATAAGTCATTCCATAGCCTTCTTCTTTCTATCCCATCATTTTGAGCATAGACAATAGAAGCAAAAAACCTTATCCGGCTGGTCAAGTGTTACACGTGGTAGTGACCAACCTGGTCAGACTCGGCCAGTTTAGAAACAAGTAGGGAATCAGGATTCCATCCTATCAAAATTCTCCCATAAGAATGACTCTGGTGGTTATCACAAAAATCCCAATTTTTGAAAATATACTGCATAATTCTGCTACTATTTACCTTCCTCACTTTTCTTCCACTACACTTATTAGGTCTAGGTTCTGTCCCCTAATTAGTTTCTTTATTTCCTCTTGCTTAGAGGTATCATTTAGAATTCTTATACTCCAGTGGGCAATACTAACCATCAAGAAAGAATAGCTTGCTGAGTCTTAGGCCCTCAGCTTTCCTAACTTTCCCTTGCTCCTGAGCTCTCTTCTTCACTTTTTTCTTTTTCCTTTGGGATTTTTGTTCATGACCAAAGCATTATCAGTACCTATTGAATTTTCCACAGGTAGGTGGGACCTTCGAAGGTGCAAGACTGATATCCACCACCAGATTACCACCATCCCCAATAAGGCACTCATACTTGTTATACGTAATAATTATACCAAGATTCATCACAGCTATGTTAGAATTTTCGGGGATAATAGTTGAAACCTTAATGTCCTGTTGGGATGCAGGCATCTTCTTGTCGGCTTCTTTCGCCAGCTATATGTTCTCAGATCTCTTCTGAAGGACTTATTGAGTATTGATGCATCCTACAATCTACTGAATGTTAGCCTTCTCATTGTTAGCCACAGGCACACCAACTTGAGGTCACGCCATTATTACTTGAGGTCAAAAGTAGGATCAATTCAAATTGCAATAAATGATTGTTTACATTTATAATTAGACTCTTTATGATGTCAGATGTCCCAAATGGGACCAAACCAGACTCGATTAATTGACACCCTTAATCTAGGATCAGTTGGGGGCAGCTGTTGAAAAAAGAAGGCGGGATGGCAAAAACCTTTCCAATCCAACTACCAACCAATTCCAGAATTAAAGCATAATGGCAACTGAGCAAGCAAAGATTAAGTAGGCCTAACTTTTGTATTGTATAATATAAACCACCATACATGTTAAAATCCAAAATTAAAGTTACATTACAACAACAGATCATAATCACACATAGGATAGGACACGAGTAGATCAATATTTAAGAACACATATATGAAGTATTATGTGTTCATATAAGTATTAGGCGTAGCATTCGTCTCTGGGTGTAATCCGAGCCTGAAGTGGATGTTTCATGACGACAGTGAACTCTTGCTTCTCTGATAGATCAACGTCGTCGCCATCCTCTCCCCCAGCAGCCGCCCATTTAAAGTACCAAATCAAATTGGCCACGAAATATTCCAAGTGAAGCAAAGCCAAACCAGAGGCAGGACATATCCTCCTTCCCGCACCAAATGGCATCATTTTGATCTCTCTGGCTCTGCTGCCCGTTATATCTAAAGTTGCTGTTGCTTCCCCGCCTCCTCCGTCCTTGCTGCTTTTGCCATGAATTTCATCAGTGACAATAGCAGTGGCAGCAGCAGTCAAGAACCTCTCGGGTTTGAACCCCATGGGATCATCCCACACCTCTGAGTCCCAACCCATTTCGGCCACCATGAAATTCACTGTGGCATTCTTTGGCACCACATAACCCTCTAATTCGACCTCCTCCGTCACACAGTGAGGAAGCACGAAGTGCCCCGGTGGGTGACGCCTCAGACCTTCCAACACCACCGCTTTCAGGTATGGCATCCTCTGCAGATCCTCCTCCTCCACGGTTCTCATCGTCTCTTCTCCCTTTCCCTCCCCTTTTTTGGAGGATGGTGGGGCTGGCGGTGATCCCACAACGCTGGAGATCTCTCCGTAGAGCTTGGCCTGAACGTGAGGGTATTTCACCAAATTGGCCATGATCCACTGCAAAGCAGTTGACGTGGTGTCAGTGCCGGCACTTAGAAACTCACTGCACAGGCTCACCATCTCCCCGTCGTTGAGCTTCCTCTTCTCTTCCGGCAGCTGCAGATTTACCAGAGTGTCCACGTACGCCACCATGCCCTCCACTTGCTCATCACCATCAGCCTTTCTTCCCTCATTCTCTTCGCTATGTTGCTCTTGTTTTGCTCTTATTCGAGATTTGATAAGAGGGATCAATATGTCCTCCTGGTTCTGGCGCAGCTGCAAGAGCTCTTTCCATCGTTTGCGAAACAAAATCTTTCCCAGTTTCGGCCAGAAGTTGAGAATGTTAAATCGGTTGAAACTCAAAAGCAAACGGCGTTGTACGGTCTCAACACGTTTGATTTGATTTTCATCGAGCTTGTCACCGAAGCACATGAGGACCAACAGGCAGAACATGGCGTACTGGAAATGGTCAACCACCCTCACCACCGATTCCGATTGGGCAGATTTGAGGAGGCCATTAATTAGGATTCCAAGGACCCAACGACGGGCGGGAGAGTAGGACTTGACCCGGGAGGGGTGGAGGATCTCAAAGGTGAGGTTGCGACGGAGGAGGCGCCAGGTGGAGCCGTAGGCGGCTGAGCTGATGTTGTGCTGGTTGCTGCTCATGATTTTGCTGGTGGCCAGGGCCCTTGGGCGGTCAGAGAAAACGGCGCCATTCTGGATGAGGGCTTGATGAGCGATTGAGTGGCTAGCCACGAATATGGCCGGCCGAGACCCAATCTCCAGGGTGATGAGAGGGCCGTACTTGACCCTGAGGTCCCGGAGTATTGGTTCGATCTCGGAGAATGACTTCAGCAGCCATAGGAGGTTTCCTATCACCGGAATGCTAGGGGGTCCTGGAGGGAGCTTCTTCTTCTTCCGCTCCTTGAAGTAGTTAATAGAAGAGGAAGAAGAGACGAAAATAAGATTGAAAAGGGGCTTGAAGAGTGCAGAGATGCAGAGTAAGACGACAATGATGAAGCAGGTATCTTTCTCCATATCCCCTCCCTCTCGGTCTCTCCGGAAACGAATGGATGATAATGAACAATTACTCTTCGAAACGTGTACGGTGTGTGGTGGTGGTGGTGGTGGCGGCGTTATATCATAGACGTGTGCATACCAGGATGACTTATCCGATAAATTTTATTTTTATGATTCATATTTAAATTTATTAATAATTTAAAATTCAATCTGATTTGAATAATTTTATTTAACTTAAATTTAATAAGTTACATTTGAATTTTAACCAAATGTTTTCAAATTATTACTCAATTTTTTAATATTTATATAAAAACATATATTTTTTTGGATTAGATATAGATATATCAAAATTTAAAAAATACGACAACAAATTTGAATTCAAAAATTCAAATTATCGATAAAAATTATCAACTTATATCGATTAATTGCATTTGATGGTGTAAATTAACTTGAATGAGTAGAAGGGATGAATTTATGGTTGGCAACTTGGGTCAGTGCTTCGGGGCTTGAGGAGATTGTGATAAAGAAATTTTGGAGATTGGGATAATTCTCACCGTGAATATATAGTGGTTCATCAGCTTGAAAGTTCGATTAATCCACTTTTTAATAGAGGCTCTTGCTCTTTTTGTTTTAATAATGAGGAATGGAGTTTACAGTGTGCCTCTTACACCACTAAGGTTTTTTTTTCTCTCTCCCCATCAATGAGGCACTGTACAGTATTTATAGCACAATTAGTATCTCTAAGGGATTTGAAGTGAGATCTTTGTTCTTCAATTGCGGGACTTTCCTTGATTTTAGAAAGAGATCTTGGGTGGTTGAGGGTATTGCGCCCTGAATATGATTCTTTGCCATCTTTAGGGGTCCTCTTAACGCCCAGTTGTTCTCTCGTCACCTCCGTTACTGTCTTGTTTGGGAATAGCTCTAGCTTTGGTCCTTTGAGCTCTGCATGTCTTGTCTGACCTCCTTATTCGACCTCCGTGCCTCATCTCACATTTTGGAAGTTACTCTATGTACCATCAGTTGTCTCTCATCTCTTGACCAAGCTGACTTGGGTAAGGGATGAACTAACACTTAACTAGGGGGTAGACCTCCACGTGCTGACCTCAGTTTGTGCGCAAACAAGTTTGTGACAATTACCAGTAATCATTTTTTTTATTGTTTCTTGTGCATGTTCTCCACTTTCTAACAATAGCTTTAAATGCCCCTGAGTTGAGGGAAATGGCTCATTTTGCCTTTTAAACTCCCTCTCCAGGCTTTTCCCTCTCTTCTTCCTACAATTTTAGATTTTTTAATTTTGCTGGTGTCCCTAGGGTTTTGTTGAGAAATCGATTTTCCCTAATTCAATCTCTGGTTTTAAACGAAGTTCACTCCTCGCTTTTATTTCAAGCCTTGGTCTTCTGTCGATCCTCACTTAGGTACACTTCTTACTCTATGTTCATCTCCTTGTTCTGGATCCCTCAAGCCTGAGGTGGTTTCTGTATTTTTGGACTTTTTGATTCTGCTACTTTTGGAACCAAGGTTGATCTATGTCTCGTATTCCTCTCTTTTTAGACCCTTATTCAACTGCTAGGGTTTTTCTTATTGGTAGTTGTTGTGTTACCCCCTGACTTTTAGAGAGTGTTCTGTAAATATTCCTTCTCGTTATCGTACTTTCAGACTCCCTTTTTCTTCCCTAACTATGTCTGCTTCTTCTGGAGCTACCCCCTGTTCTGTTTCCCTTCTAGGGACCAGGTCTGCTGAGGAAGATTCTGATTTAAGTGATGTGGGTGAGGAGATTGATAAATTTCTCGGTATTGATTCTGCTGATACCGAGGGAAATGCTGAGGAAATTCCCTCATCTACCACCCCCCATTCCCAAAAATCCTAACAAGGGTAAGGCCAAAGTTAGCAGAGTTGGTATCTCCGACAACGCTGAGGGTGCAGGTGCTACTTTCAGAACTGCAGAACATGTGAGCTTCAGTGAGGTCTCTCCTCCTCTTATGAAAGTTCTTAGCGCTCGTTTTAGCTTTCCTTCTGGTGTCCAATACTGGTGTCCAGATAAATTTACCTCATTCATTGCCCAAGTCCACAAAAAAGTTTATTTTTTCAAGGCCGCCTTTGAGAATGGTCTTCGCTTTCCTATGCACCCATTTATCAAGAGCGTTTTGCAGCATTTTAACGTCTTCCCTGCTCAGTTCTCCCCTAACTTCTGGAGTATTCTGGTGGGTCTTCTTGTTTTCTTTAAGAAGCATAAACTTGGGGTTCCCACTGTCTCCCTGGTTATGGAGTGTTTTAATGTTACGTATACCTCTTCCTATGGTTTCTTGTATATCTCTAAACGGGTTAAAGCTAAAGTAATCATCACCGACCTCCCAAGCTCTCAAAAAGGCTTGAGAAAAATTTCTTCTTCGTGGGGGTGATCAATGGGAATACAACCCTATGGACAATTCAGATTCTCTTCTAGTCCCTCGGGCTTAGAAAGCCCCTGACAACTTGGGTAAGTGCAAATATATGTGAGCTAGGGTCGGCTTCAGTAGCTTTTCTTTGCTGATCTCTTTTTGTTTCTTATATTCTTTTTTTTTTTTTAGGTGTTCGCCCTGAACTCAGTGCTGATGACGAGCAGGTCTTGTTGTCCCTAAAAGGTTGTGAATCAGAGAGGTACTCTGAGCTCATCAAACATTGGATTCTCGTAGCGCAAGGATTCAGTCTCCCAAAGACTACGATTGAAGCCCCGATTCCCCTTTCTGTTGTCAGTGCAGAGGAGGCCGCTGGTAATACCCTGACCTATCCAACTCTGATCTTCCCCTTTCTTCTTGTACCTTGTTTATTTATATTTTTACCTGTCCTTGGTTTTTAGGTCCTTCCATGATGAAGCCTTCCACAGCAGAGCTCCAAGCTAAGCTTTATCAATTAAAGAAGGCCAGGAGCGGTGGTAAACACAAGGCTGAGGTTGGTTCTGGTAGCGAAACTACTCCTCCAGCCAAAGTGCCAAAAAAGAGTGTGACCCCCAGCTCTACCATTCCAACTCCACCCTTGATCATCCAGCCTTCATCCACTCCACAATCTACAGAGGGTTCTTCCCTTAGGAGATCTCCGTTCGCCCCTAGTGAGGTCCTTGAGCAAGGGTAGACCTCCCCCTACTTCTTTTGAGGTTGATAGGGCCTTGGGGACGATTACTCGAGTTC